CTTTGCCTACTTCGTGTCTTGCTTTGCTGTGTAATTATATTGTCTTCAACGTTCCAGCGAATAGGTTCAAGCTACAAACCTATCAACTTATACTCAGAAGTGTCTGGGTCAAAATGACCTGCAACATCATCTGTCTTTGCAGTGTATACAAACACTGCAAAGACATTCCAGGACACATCAAAGTGTCCATATTTAAACACCAGTTTATGACCCCAGATAAGGAAAAGTCATAAACTTTCATGAAGAAAAAGATAGGACGACCAGTACTTTGGTCACCACAAAAAGTGGTCGATGAGAGTTTGTTTTTTAACGAGTCCTCATTCAGTACTGTGCAAAAGTCCTGAGCCACTTCCAATTTCTTTATATTTTGCAGGAAAATGGGAAATAGATGCAACGATTTACTGGAACACGTGCAAACATACATAAAACTACAGCATATGCACATGTTTCAGTAAGTTTCACTTTATCGTTGGTATTTTTTTACAGATTCAACTAAAGAAATGGGAACAAATGATGCATTTTTGTGACAGTCTGCTAATAAATAGCCTAAAGGTACATTTCAAACTGGTTCCGTGCTATGTTGTCTGTTATGTGTAGACACAACACTGATTCAGGAGGCTTTTTATGCTTGAATGATTCATGGAGCAGAGTGAAGGGGCTTAATAACCCAAACTTTCCTCAGGGAAATTGTGAAGTGCAAGGACTGGACTGAAAATGAGAGAAAAAGCAACCTAATGTCCAAATAAAACTATTGATTGCTTTCTCAATAAAAGAGATAATGATACATAACTATGAAAGGCCTTAATAGATCCTGGAGAACTACTGATGAAGACCACTTTAAAAACTGAAACTCCTTGTAAGCTAAAAGAAAGAAAAGAGAGGTTGCTCAAGACTTTTGCACAGTACTGCAAGCAGAGGAGATGGGTCTGCAAAACACATTTAAGGTCAGCTAAAAACTGCATCTGAGGCCTGCAGATGGTTATATGCAGACAGATGTGTTGAGTGTCATCAGGTTTTTTTGCTGAGGTTTCCCATGATTGCAGTGCTGCTCAGTCAGCAATGCTGGGCTGAAACCTCGACGCACAGCAACATTTCTAATGGTGATTTAACCGAACACGCCTCCAGTGAGTTTATGAAATCCATCTGAGTGGTGCCTCGGTGGGAAGAAAGAACTCTTCATAGGTAACATAACATGATCACTGAAAAAGGAAACGGAACAGAGTCTGAAACATTTGTTCTTCCTTTAACATCTCAGGACTTTTTTCTAACCTCTTTAGGGCCATCAGATCACCGGTGAGCCCCTCAGAGGTCAGGGAGGGGTTTGATTAAGACCACATGCTAAACAAGCACGGTTCCAGAAATTAGTTACCGTTCAAAACAAATCTCTTACATGCATTTGACCCTCTATTATGTAATTTCTGTTTGCATGCACTATATAGATGAAAATCCCATATAAAAGAAGAGCTGTGTTGCACATTAGTAAGTGTTGAATTTGATATATTTTAAAGTGAAACCACTGAATAAAACCTGTTTTTCAAAGTGTAACCAGTGCACCAACATCAGAGTTTAAGTGTGGAAAGTAGGAAATTATTATGACAAAAGTTAAGGAAACAAAAGTAATTATTAAGGTGGGCGTCTTTTTTTTCTACCTTTGACCCTCTCTGTGGTCTACATTCATTTTTACTGTGTCACACTGACATCTAGTGGTCAAAGATAGAAAGTACATTTCAGAGCGTTTATTTTTACTTTTGCTCAACCTTCATCTGACTCTCTCCATCCATCCATCCATTCTCCTCTGCTTATGCAGTTCACTGGCACACTTGGGTGATAGGTACAGGTGTCCCAGGGCGATAGGCGGGACACACCTGGACAGGTTGCTAATTTGCTGCAAGGTTAACACAGAGAGACAGACAATCTACACCTACAGCCAAATTAGAATCACCACTTGAGCTGACAGGCACGTCTTTGGACGTGGGGGGATGCCTGGATTCAAACCCACAGCCTTCTTGCCGAGAGGCAATAGAGTAACCTCTCTATTAGAGGGCAGAGTATCAAAATTAATTTCAGGAGTTTTGTGACAATAGAGAGAAATTGTAGAGGACGTTTTTTAACACACTGTGGTCAACATTTATAGGTTCAGGTGTATCTGATCAGATGGACGTGATTAAAAAACCCAGAATCATCATGTTTGAACTGTAGTTTTTAATCCTCAGGGACTCAGTAAATGCTCACACAGAGCTCCACTGCAGCCGTGTTTCATGTTTCAGTCGTCATGTTTAAGTTCATGGACAAAACCAGTAACAGTCGAGGATTAACACTAATTTACATATGCTTGATTTCTGGTTCATGGTCAGAGGCTGACCATGAATTCTTGAGCCAGGAACCAAAAGAGGAAATATCTGTTTAGTTTGAATGCATGCAAATTCATTATGAAGGTTTTTTCCCCCCCTGTTACTTCTGCCGTCTAACTATGAACTCAGAGGCAAAACAGAGTTTACTGACTCTCAGCTGTCAGTCAGGACACCTTTAAAGAACTGCAGAACTGCAATGAATCATCCCAATAAACAGTCTTTTTTGGAAAGAAAAGGACAGATGAACACAGACAGAGATTCTCAGATGTATTTGTGAGATTACTAAGATGTTGGCTTCTTTTACAAATTAACTGAATTTAATTAAACCACCTTAAGCTGAAAGAGAGCATCTCTCACCAACTTTTAAGTCTTTTAAATGTGAAAATGGTCTACAACCAGCTCAGAATATTTAACTATACATTTCATTTGATTTGATGTTTAAAAAAACCCTCTTATTTTGGTAAGTAACCAGATGTAATTGTTGAAAATTACACATAGTTACTTTTTGCCACTGCCGTCACTTAATGAAGCAGTGCAGTGCAGCCTTTATTATTTTGTTCTTTAATATTTTCCGTGGTTCTCTAAATCTTGATTTTTTTGTTCACCTGCAGCTTTTTTACTTTAACTTTAAAACTTGTGCACCACATCAAATCGGATGTTTCAGAATCAAGCCTTCAGTGAGGAGAAACTGAAGGCTTGATTTGATTTGATTTTAACTTGATCACAGACTTTCACTTTACATGTTTCGTTCTCATAAACTACTCAACGTGAACGACTGAGGAAGAGAGTAAAGAAAAAGAGGAAGGAAAAAAAGCATCAGGAGGAAGGAAATGAGATAAGAAATAAATGCTTTTAGGAAACCGTCATTCAGTGAGACAGGGAAGAGCCTCTGTGATGAGGAGGTAGGGAGGAAGCGAAGGAGACTAGGGAAGGGGATGAAGCGCAGGGAGGAGGAGTAAATCAGTGTTGGAGACTGACGCGGAAGAAGAATCAGCCTCGGAAAAGGAAGAAGAAACCCGAAATGAAAGCAGCCCCCCCGTCAGGGGGACTTCACACTTGTTGATTATCGTCGGTCTCCAGTACTGAGGCGCTTTTTGGACTTCTTTTCGACCGATTTGTTGTGTCTTTCTGCGGGCTTGGACCGGCTGTTTCGGGGGTGCCTGGCTGTCTGAGTGATCGCTGAGACTGAAAAGATCACCCATCCATTTCACAGACTTCACGCTGCTGCGGACACACTCGGCATCCAGTTCTACCCGATCGATATTTCATCATTTATTCATCCACCTTCCTTAGCAGGGAGCTTTGGGAAAGTGCCGAGCAGGGCGCCCTGTCCTCCGCGCTGCGCCGCTGGGTGGCACCGCTGTCTCCGGGCGGAGGGTCTTTCTGATCGCGGGGATCGAGAGCAGCAGGAGCCGTCGAAAAGGATCGAAAATCCAGTATTAATCTCTCACTGGAACAGCTGTCGTGTATTTTGGGAGAGTGGCTGGTCGATAAATGTGCAGGAAGTTTGTTTTTTAACGAGCCTGTGAGGCGGGATTCTCAGACAGCACACCGACCTCGGCGCCCTTTCCGCCGGGCAGCACCGCTGGCTCCAGCCGGTGCGATGACCGACCCTCCACGGGGCGACACCGACGTCACAATCGCGATAAACTGAGCCGTGAACTGGTGGCCTGTTGTGTGTTTTAGGACCTGGATAAATATCTTCCAGGGCGAGGGGGAAAGTCCAGGACACACACCGAGCACGGCGCCCTTTGCCGGGCTGCGCCGCTGTGTTTGGCCCGGTGGGATGTCTCTCCACTACGGGTGAACTACTTCCTAGAAATCCAGCCCTTTTGGCACCAGGAGTTACCGCTGTTGAACCCTGTGTTGTCGCCCTGCTGTTGGGAAGTTTTTATAAGAGGGCGGGCAGGAGGACATGGCGGACTCCGGCCGGCCCAGACCGGCGGACCCTGATGCCGCAGAGAGCCGGACAGCGAGCCCGCTGGCCGGGAAGAAGAGGGCGCAGCAGTCCCCCGGACTCCGGTCCAAGTACCAGAGCTCTGCACCGGGTCACTGCTTTAAGAAAGTCACCCTGACCAAACCTACCTTCTGCCACAGCTGCAGCGACTTCATCTGGGGGATAATCGGCTTCTTGTGTGAAGGTAAGACAGCAAATATGCTTTGTTTAGTTATCGAGGTCATTACTTATGCACGAGATCAAAGTTCAGCTCGTGCGCTTCGCAAGCGCACATCCGGTTCTCCCTGCGGGAACCGAACCTGGCCTGAGCTGAGGTGTGTTTAACAACGTGATGAACCCGACTTACACCGATACCTGCCCCGGACACGGAGCTGATCCGCTTGAGGAGGCCAGGCTGGATCCCGACCTCAGGCTGCAGCTGGAAACTTTTACAGGATAATGTGTGGTTGCTCTAAAAGTCTGTCTGCATGCACCAAAACATGCAACATCTGCAGTTAACCAACACAGACAAGGGCCCATGTGTTCCCTTTTTTCCTTTCCTGTTCATTTTCTTCCTCCTTTCCTTCTCCTTGCCTCCTCTTTTCCTTTCCTTTCGACACATCTTAATCATGAATTGGGAGGAGAATCAGAGAGAGTACATCCAGCACACCAACACAATTCAGTCTGCCCAGTAACACACTGGTTTTGCATAGTGTGTATGTGTGTGCACTTAAGGATGTGTGCATGTCTAAAGGAGGCAAAGTGTCTGTGGCACAATTGGAGCTTCAGTCAAGTCGTGATTTACTTCCCGTGGTTGTCATGGCAACAGGAGACTGGCAGGGATGCTGGTTGTTGGAGGAGTGTGAGTGTGTGTGTGTATTTGTGCGTCTCTGTGTGAGTGAGAGCAGAGACCATCCTCTTCATCACAAGCAGCATCAGATGCATTAAAATGTGCAGCAGCGCTTCTGCTCGCTTACGTAACCTTTCTTCTTTAAGCCGTCACTTGGATTAACACAAACCAGTGATGTCATCAAATTGCTCCGTCCGCCGCTGCGTTGTTAAAAGCCCATTTTCATGTTTCCCTTTACCTTTATTTAACAGGTGAACCTAGTGGACTCTGACCTCCGTAGCCTTTAGTATAGAGGTCACAAGGTCACAAGGTCAATCAGGTGAGCTACAGTGGCACCCTGGAGATGACTTCTTAAACCTGCATTTGTTTTAATGGCCAGTGGAGAGGGGGTGGGGCTGCGTGACAATCACAGTGATGGCGTGCAATCGAGTGAATAAGACATCAGTCACACAAGCTTGGAGAGCGGTGGAGTAGTTGATGGCTGAAGCCTCAGTCACACAGGGCTGCAGACCAATCAGTGACCCCCTGGCAACCACCTGTTGCTAGGGAAAAACATGTATTCTCCAACCAGTTGGCCAAAGCCTGGCTGTGATTGCTTTGGTTGCGAGGATATTGCTGCAGTCACTGTTTGATGGACTTGTGCATAAACACTGCCCAGCTGCTCAGGAGCAGGAAACTGGAAACCGTGAACACAGGAAACACGGGCTGTTTACCTTCAGAATAAAAGCTCACCTTTTCAAACATGTTGGCTTCAGCGCTGAGGCACAACTTTAATTTCTGTTTACTGCCGCTCGGCATGTAGTTGGTGAGCGTTTGCAGACGGACGTGAAACCTGCTGGCAACCACACAAATCATCCAGCTTCACCCAGCACGGGCCAGCAACCTCCAGGAGTCGCCGCCAACCAGTCACTGACTGCACGTTTCCATAACAACCAGTGGTCTTATCACATCCAGGGTCATTATAAATAATTAAAGTTGACATGAAATAACATTTTTGTTGAGTAAAGTTTAAACAAATGTAGAGGACCTCTTCGTATCTGTTTGGTAAAAAAAAAACTCTGTAGACGTTTAAGGAAATTGATGTTTGGCTCCTTTGACCTTTAACCTCAGTGGACTCTTTCCTGATGAGTTTGTTGTCTCAGTCACTGTTTTCAGCTTGTATTGAATAAAACATGAAGTTTATTTTGTAAAGTGGGGTCCCATCAGAGTCAGAGAGCAGGATGCGTGTGGTTTACTCGGTTTCTCAGTCACATCTACCCCTCGCTTGCCACAGCCAGTTTCAAAAAATCAAGATGGCTGTAGAACAGGACTTCACCAACTGAAGGGTGATGTCACAATGGCCACATCCATCTTATATACCATATATGTCCGTTTACGGTTGTGACTGCAGCAGTGAGTGAGCTAAAAGCAGAAAAAACAAAGTGAGCACAGAGCACAAAGGGCTGCCTGGATTACTGTACATACACTGAGCTCATTATGAGAAACTGTGTGTAACAGGAACGGCCACTGCAGATCAGAATAGATCCCGTTTTGGTTACGTATCTCGGTGAAAACACGGGGCCGCAATGGCGGCTGTTCCTTTGTGACCAGAGCTGCTGCGAGTGCTTATCACGCACTGCTGTAATTTACATGTTTCCAGCGGCAGCACCGCCAGGAGCCACGAGCACCGACTTCTTATAAAAGACGGCTGCAGCCACCATGATGTCACACACAGGTTTGCACGCAGCCTTCAAGAGCCTAAACTTTGACCTTTTGGCCGCTACCATGATAGTTTGTTGGAACAGATAGAAAAACTATAAAAGAGCAAAACACTGATCAAACGTTCATGCTGCAGAATGGTTTTTTTGTCTGTTCAACATTTAAAACTACTGATTGATTTAAAATCAGTCAGTGAAGCTGCAGGAAGCAGAGAGCGACTGTCTGATAAGATTCAAGTATGAACGTTTGGATTGACATTATCATCAAAAATTCATTCAAACTGCTCCTCATCAAACACATTAAAGTTTTAGCTGTGATATCGTGGACTCTGAGCAGTCATTGCTGAGTCACCGGCTGTGAGAAAGTGCCTTCATCGGGGCTGTTAATGACCCGCCGGAGCTCCTGGACAGGAAAAACCTGACTGATCTCCTCTGGCCTCGGTCTGCCTCCCTGTGCTTGTTGTCTGGATGGTGCGCACAGACGTGCTCGCCTGCAGCAGGCTTTTATTGTTCAAACTGGCCAGAGTGAACATTTGAGGTTTACCACAGTGTGACAGCACAGGCAACAACACGCACACTGACTAAATGTCACTTCAGCGCACACATTGAGAGCAGACGAGGTGCAAACGTGACCAGCAGTCATCCAGCTGACAGCTTCCTTTCGTCTTCCAAACACGTTTTTATTATTCGCTCTCACGGTGTCACGGCTCCACGCCGCTTCTCTTCCACCGGCCGCTCGAGTGAAAGCGTTCTTATCTGAGCGCTGCAGGGCTGGGGGGTGGATGTGCGGGTGGAGTATTGGAAGTAAAAGCAGCAAGAACAGATCAAAGGTTTCTGCTTTTGTTTAACTCCATTTAACTCGGCTGAATTTGGAGGCAAATCCAAGTCTGACCCCTGAACTCTGACCCCCTCAGAATCAGCTGATGTTTTTTTTATGTGCAATATCTTATTTAATAAAGCAGCGCAAAGGTTTACCCTCACAGTGTGAGTATTTTCAGAGTCGCGGGCCTGTGAGGGACACAGAGGGTCCAGATTTGATGATTTTTAATTGTTTTCAGCATTTTTGAGCTCTCATAACATCAGGAGATATCCACGAGGTTATTTGAGGCCTGAAAAACAAATTTAAGTTGGGTAAAAAAAAAACCAAATCAACTTTTTACTGATGGGAATCACCAGACACCCCACGATTGGACATTATCACTGTACGATTACAATACTGTCAGTTATTTTTTTGCTTTAAAAATTGTGAAGCACAAATAGACTGAGTTTATAGAAGGAAGGAGGTCGCCGTCCTGTTTTTACTCGTGCGATGAGCTGTTAGCTGCTCTGAATTCAGACTTGTCTTCGTCGAGCTCAGCGTGTCCAGCTTTGGATGGTTTTTCAGTTGTGGCAGTTTGACGTAAGGCTATCTCAGGACACTGGTGCATGAGACGAGCCCTCTTGTTTGTAGTTTTATCATTTGGTGTCCATCTATCCACACGATATGACAAAATATCACGATACTGTGCTGATTTTTCTTTTACTTTTTACCCACTCCAAGCGTCACAATCTGAAGACAAGTCTTTTTGTTCGGTGCCGCTTTGTCTGACTGTGAGCATCAGTATCGTATCATAGTTTCAATAAAAGGCGCCAGTTTAACGTCAGGCAGAGGAACGGAAACAAGTGTCGGTGCCCTGCATGTCTGAGCTGCTTTCTGAGAAACCCCCGAGGTGTGCTGGAGGTAACGTCAGCTGTAATGAATTAAGAAAATCGTGCTCCAGGTGAAAGTGATGGTTTGCAAAATTGCACTGAAAGTTTTTGAATCTGTACCTGTTTAATTCATGCCATGCTTTTTAAAAAATTTTTTTTTATGTTTGTGCGACGGCTGTATTTGTGTTAATGCCTGCTGCACACACGGTCAGTTTACCACTGAGATGCAGAGATTCTCGTATAAATGCAAAATATCATAACAAAAAGCATCTCTTTATGAACAACTCAGAAAGCCGAGAGAAACTCCGACAGTGTTAATGGTCTCTGACTGTGCTCCTCTGTCTCCTCCTCAGTGTGTAACTTCATGTGTCACGAAAAATGCCTGAAGACGCTGCGGAAGGTTTGTTCCTCCATGACTCCGTCTCTGGTCCAGGTGAGTATCCAACATACGCTCATGCTCCAAACTCCAAATGAGCCAAAATGCGTCACTACAGACACGGGACAATGTTGGCCCGATGCGTCTGGAGTGGGAGCAACGAGAGTAAAAACAGGAGGAAGGTGCTGTGTGAGAAAACAGAGAATTTACATTTATTTGACAGCCAGTTACTAGTCCGTACAGACATTTGCACATCTATAAAACCTATATATCTATAAAACAGACTAAAGACTGCAGGTGAGGAAACACCTTTACTTTAATCTCTGGACCCCAGTCCGGGAGCCAATGGGACGAAGGCAGGGATCCCCAGACGTGATGAGATGGGGTTTGTTTTTACACCTTGCAGGGCTGAACTTCTTTAGGCATTACCCATCAGAGAACGAGAATGCAAACACGATCAGATCAGACATCAGCCGGCCTTTAACCGACCAGCTCCCCGGTCCAAATGCAATTATGCTGATGTGCTCAGCTGAGAGTCTGGTGCATTTACTTGTAGAAAGTAGGCGCCATGTGCGCTGCCTCCTGCACACTACACCCATGCATCCACCCGCATCTAAACCACACAGAATATTTCCAGTAACATGAAAGCATCTGAAGAGAACTATTTCCTGCTCGCTGCTGCATGTGAGCGAGGAAAACTGGAGAATATTCCAGTCTGATTCTCACAAATGTGTCCTGAAAAGTTCAGCTGCGAAAGTGGCTTTATTGTAACCTCTAAGTGAGAACTGACTTTTTATGTAATTGTGCAAACAGGAGACTAAATCACACTGTAAGCCACAATAAGACTAATAAGCTAACACGGTATACTTAACCGCTACAGCGTAGAGTAAGTTAGGATCTTTGGCTTTGTGTTCAAAGCTAAAAGAAAAGTTCAAATATTTATTTAAACTAACAAGTAAACAGTAATTTAATATTTCACAA